TAGATTCATCGACACATAAGGTACTTCCAGGTAATACAGCATCAATCAAATTGCTATTAAAAACATTAATGAAACTTCGAACAGGATATAAAGGATCAGTAAGATTCGGGTTATTTAATTCATCTAGTGCTATTAAAGTATGACAAGATACTATTTGTTCAAATCGTGTACGGCTCATCCAGCATTGAAAATTAAATGGTGCTAAAGGCTGCGTATGTTCTTGATCTGCTCTCCAGTAAAAATAACGATCAGCAACAGGAAAAACGAACATTAGTACCCACAAACCCAGCCATCTCATATATTCATTAATATTTAAATATACCCAATTTGAAGTATCTCTTCCACGTATATTAATAGAATTAATTACGGACTGTTCAATATAATCAAGAGGAAGATATTGGCGAAATAATTCATATGGTGAAGCTAAACTAATTGATGAAATATTGATTTTGCATTCATAGTTATATGCCAAATTAACTGCACGTTGATCAATAGTTACTGGTTGCTCTTGCCAGTTTATTGTAGTACTAAGGTCAATTACTTCTTCATTATTTTCAGCTTCTTCCTCATCTAAACTACTTTCACTATCGTCAGAAAACTCCTCATGAGTTGGTGATAATTCTGTAACTGCTAGTTCTTCTTGGTTTAAAATAGCTTGTTTCTCATATCGTAAGTTACCTGCAAGAATATCCACGGTCACGTTTTCAAATTCTTCAAAACTTACTTGATATTTTCGGCATTTTCTTGAAGTTAGCTCACTAATAATTGTTCCATAAAGGCATAGGTTTTTCCAATTTCTTCCGCGTTGCTGTAGATGTTGTTGCTGTATTATCTCTTTTGGTAAGATTGATGCTTTGCAGCTAACCCGTCCTCCGATAGTTAACTTTTTCGATATTCTTGGCATAGTGTATCGTTACAATTGGTAATATTGTAAGTACACTTACTAAAAAAAAAAAAAGTTGCATTTAAATTAACTTTTGTGCTATATTTAAAACTTTATCGAACCCAAACCCATAAATCATACCTACGATTTCCTTTTTTTAACCTTTTAGATATATCGATTTAAATTACAATTTTTAATTTATTAGTCATTAAATATAGATTACATGATAACAATCCATATTTTGACTAGTTATAACCAGTTAAAGTTAGTTTTTATAAGTGAAATTTCACATAAAGCACTATTGAGGCTTGATCGACAAAGCTGATTAAACTCTAATAATTCTTCCTGAATAAAGCCTGTTTGTGCCTAATTGATAAAAATATACTAATCATTATAAATTACCAAAATGAATTTTATATATTTATCTATATATTGTAAAAATTTTATATAACGGCGAACAATATTTTTTATTTTATTCTAGTATTTAAATTGTACTAAATTTAGTACAATGTACTAAATTTAGTACAGCAAACGGATACCCATTAATAAAAAAGAAAACCTAATGATATTTAAATAATTTTATAATTCTTAATAGCTAAGGAAATTAAATTTTTTTTTATTAAAAGTTTCTAATTATTATAAGTTATATCTGCGATTTATAGGAATAACTGACATGTAAGAATACAGCTTTTTTTGCCTATCATAAATATTCTAGGAATAAATCTACAATATATATTGTGTACTGGAATAATACAATTCCTTTCTAATTTGGTAAAATCACATTCTCAAAGCTCAATGTTGTAGCTTTTATCGTCATCTTTATCTATCCTTATATAGAAATGATATTTTTAACCTTTCTTGATATATTTGTACTACCTAACAAATGCTAGATGATGAGTCTTATTTTGGACAGTATGTTTAAAATAAAATTGTATCTGGCCAGGATAAACATCAACTGACTCATTATCTTTGGCAAAAAATTTTGCTAAAATTCGTAAAGACTTTTTATGCCATACTGAATATGTTGATCTAAATATCTTTGACTCTAATTAAATTCTTCTATATTGATTCATTATCAGAAATACTACAACTTGATTAGTATTAGTATCAGGATTAAGATCTGCAGGTATTACAAAATTTATATCATATGCATCATTGTAATATTCAGCAAGTAACTCAAGAATATTAACAGGAATTTAAACATTGTCTTGTTTGGGTTCAAGCATATATCCTGAAATATGTTCAGTTTCATATGTGATTTCTTGCCCAATCATTTCTCTAAATTTAATAAATTGCTGAAGGTCGTGAGTATGCATATCATATAATATTGTTATTGTTGTATGTAATAACATTAAAGACTCTGATAGTTCTGGATCATCTTTGCAATAAGACACTATTTTATTAAGATGTATATTTTGGCAAATAATTTTCATAAGTTCAGGTTCAATATTTCTTTAACTAGTATGATATAAACCTATATTATTAAATTATAAAAAAAATATAATAAATTATTTAAAATATAATTAGAAATGTCTAGCATAATAAAATATTTACCCAACAGTCTATTTAACCTTTCAAATGAAAAGTACTAGAACGAATAAAGAGGACCATAATCAATACAACATTCAATAATATATAGTGAAAAATAAATATTGGAGATAATCCTTTTAGGTCTATAATTACTTTCAATAAGCTTAGCAATGTTCAATAATCTTTTATACGCTTCTTCTAAGTTTTCCTTTTTTAAAATTCTACATACTAATAAATTATATGCATGTACAAAATTAGCTAAAATATATCTATCAGACCCTAATAAAATATCCCAACAAATATTCATTGCATAGTACATAATAAATATACGCTATTGATCAGCAGTATAATAAGCAAATTCATCACCAGTAGCAATATTATATGGAATTCTACCAATATCACTAGGAATTTGCATTTTCTTTACCCTATTATAGTATTTATAATTTTAAGATTCTTTGCATTAAGTTTTCTCACTCTATCCATAATTTTGTCACTTATATTTTGCTATTTCCAAAAACAAGCAGTGCATAGGGTTGATCATTAAAAACCTAATTGTTGAAATAAGAAAGTCGGTATAATTCTGACCAACATACCAGTGTTTCTGATACATGCTTCTTTTATTGATCTTCTGTTTTACATCAGAGCCACACATATGCATTAATTTTAGCTTCTTCAATATTACATTCAATGAACCACTTCTCATAATTATCAAACCCTCCAAAATTAGGTTGATTGTTAATAAAATTCGTATACTTTTTACACCGATAGTATGCTACATGTGCAGAGATAAACCCATATAATTTTCATCCTGCAGGAATATCACACATACAACAAACTACAGCACTACGAATTTTTCTACCGATTGGATATTCATATATATGTTGTAGCTCAAAGCCACTCTATAACTCTAAAAATTTATTCACGATAGGTGCTAAGTAATAATTAATTTGGTGTGTTTGTATCTCTTTTGGACCAGGTAAAAATTCAAAAATTATGATGTTATGAGGCTTAAAACATTCTTTCCTTGGTAAGTTACATATCACTCTATACAAAGCACTAACACTATATATTGAATTTTCAAAAGGCTGAAACCAATCTAGGTTTAATATAATACCTAAATGGCTATTAGTATTCTCATTACTAAAGAAAGGTCTTTTATTAATATCTTTAAATTTCTTCCAAATCTGGCCATTATATATATCAGCTAAAATATTTTTATAAATACTTCGATTTGGCTATTTTTGTAATAAATTTTCAAACCCTTCACACTTATACATTAATTGTAATTGATCCTTAATTTTTATAGTTAAAAAATTATTTTGGGTCTATATATCAACCCTTCTTTGATAGAAACTTTTTTTATTAATAAATTTTCATACAGTTGCCTCATTTTTGATATAGAATGCAAAGAATATTTGATATGTTGATATTTTATATAGATTAGATTTTGCTTCAGAGTTGTGGTAATAAGATTTTCAGAGTGATATAATTTGTGACATTTTGTATATGCTGCATAGTTCTTAATATGAAGACATATTCCTAATACCTTTCATGCCAAATTAATTGATAATAAAAAAAATTCAAATTGTTTTTGATCAATTGAAATCAACAGGTACCTTATAAACTTAAATAAAACACTTGTAGCA